TATTTCCCCCTACATATTACCTCACAAAAAAGACTGAATTCTATTTGGTAGTCATATCCTGAACTAGTTGATTATGAGGTAGACAGGCTTCTTTGTAAAACAGTAAAGCCTGGAAACAAAAAGCTAAAACTGAAGGAGAGGAAACTTCAGGATGTATTCTCGCTCTTTCAGTGAACTTCATCTAAATAATTAGTAGCACGCAGTTTGTTAATTATAGATTATGTACAGATACAGTATCAATAAATATATGTGTGGTCTAATGTAAACATTGGGAGGCAAAAATTCTTATGATGCCATTAAAACAAAACTAAAACTCACTGATAGCTAACCAAAAATTGTTTTAATATTGAGGAAATCACAAATAAAATGACCAAGGGGTTCATTCTGAAACCTCCCCAAATTAACTGTACTTTCAATCTTGATTTTAGTTTAAGTGGAAAGAAAATATGTTCACTTTTACAAATTAAAAGCAAATGCATTATTAAAGGATCATAACAGAATTTGTCACCTATTTCAACAGAGGTTCTACCTTTTGACTCCAAATATAGTATCTGTATCTGCCAAATATTAGCTCAACTTTATTATCAGTATTGTTCTATAGACCTAATTCAATGTTTGCTGAAATACGTATTTAATCTTACTTTGAAATTCAAGTCTCATAGCATAGGATGTAATGACTCTTTGTCCCTTGTTTTCCATTTATTAAAAATAAATGTGGGGGTTGGCCAAGTGGCTCAGTTGGTTAAGAGTTGGCTTAAGAGCGCGAGCTCTGAGCAACAGGGCTGCCGGTTCGATTTCCACATGGACCAGCGACGCTGCGCCCCAGCTGAGCTGTCGCTGAGTTGCCAACAGGTGGCAGGATGGCTCAGCTAATATAACAACAAGATCGCCTGTTCGATGGTGCACTACACCTACCCACAACTAAGACTGAACTCGACAACTTGAGCTTAGAGGCCACGAGCTGCCGACAGGAAGCCAGATGGCGACTGGCACCCTCCATAACAAAGATTGAAGAACAACAACTTGGCTGGTCCCCTCTCCCAATTCCCCAATAAAATCTTTAAAAAAAGAAAATGTGAACTTCCAAAACATAGTATCTGAAGCTAGCTGAAATCTAGCCTGCACCATCACTTTTAATATAGCACTTTTAATTATGCTTATTTGATTAAAAATGTATTTTTAAAATGCCATGACTTTGTGTAAATAAGTGAACATACAATTATTGCATCATGGGTATACAGTTTTTAGAAGATACTACCAAACTGCCCTCCAAAATAAATGAACCAATTTATACTTCCACCAGCAATGTTAAGAGTTCCCATTTCTCACACCCTTTTTGTATCACTTGATTTAACATCTGCCAATCTGATAGGGGAAGAATGATCTCGTTGTTTTAATGGAATACCTTCAATATAGTACCATGTATGTATTATCTACTTTCTAAAGAGTATACATATACTGATATTTTCCCAGCCTAATCCTTCCGTTAAATCTCTCTTTTCCTTTCTAATTAAATAATACAATAAAATGTTCAAACAAAAAGTAGCTTAAAAATAATCCCTCATCCCACCTGTCAACCCTTCCCAGGGACCCTAAGATATACACTTCTGGGCTTTACAGAAATGAAGCATGGCATACTTGACAGAGCAGGGACACTGTGATAAAAATGGCCATGGTGGGTAAGCACTGGCATAAAGATTAATCAAGAATCTGTAATGCTATAGCATGGTTTGTAACTTTGATATAATACTCATTCCAGTCCATACAGGCTTTCTGGAGGGACAGTGATACTTTATGAGATTAAAACTACAATTAATCTCAAGACATTATGCAAAATAGATTGAAGCACGCAGTTTGTTACTTACAGATTGAAATAAGACAAATGAATGGGATATGAGGGTACAGATTTTAAATTTGAAGTCATCAGATGCGTGGAGGTTATGTGAGAACAGAGCCTGGATGAGAGAAAAAAATACTACCTACACAAAGATGGGAGTCAAAGCTGACAGAAAGGATATGTTGTTGAGAAGGCAGACAAGTGGGAAAGTAGCAAAGGACCCGTAGCAAAGGCCTCAGCCTCAGAGTCTGCCCAGTGAACAAACCCAAAAAGATTCGGGGAAGCAGAGAGAACTTAAAAAATGAAGAGAGCCAAGCAAAGTGTTTTTTGAAATGACAGAATGACGGTAACAAAATTATATAAGAGCACTACATGGAAAACTGAGCAAAGATCATTACATTTTTCCATAAGATATTTAAGATAGTAGTAGTACTCTTAACCTAAACCAAGAAACTAACCAGAAATGAAGCTGGTTGAAGAAGATGGCACAGCCTAGAATGACACTGGTTCAAAGAGACTGGCTACGAAAAAAAGGTAAGTAGGTAACTTGCTTACATCCCACCTCCTTCCAGAAGAACATAATATCATGTGGTTAATAAAATATAGAGTTAGACCAAGGAAAGGAGGAAAAACAAATATTGCAGCCATGTTAACTACTAAAATTGCTATGGTTAAGTATTAAATTCACTCTGAGCTTTCTGGTAAGCAGGGCAAAAAGGTACATAACGCAAATCACAGTTTCATAAGTATTAAAATTTCTCAACAGAAAATTTTCTGGAAACTAAAAAGCCAAAATAAATTTCTCATGTGGGCCTAAAATTCAAAGGCTGATGTCCTTGTCATGTTTTACAATAAACAAAGCAATTTGATTATTTTTTTAATAAACAGTTACGTTGTATTTAACACATGCCAAATATTGTTCCAAGCCCTTTACAAAATGTTAACTCATTTTTCACCTGGCTACTTCTTTTAATAATCCTCTATAAAAAACCTGGCAGAGCCCTGAGTGAGTGCTGGCATTCCAGGTGGCTTACTGACTGAGGGATGACCTATGCTTTGAATACTAAGCATTAGAAACGATAACAGGATCAAGGGAAGCTTACCTCCCAGAATACAAGAAATGTTTATCACATAAAGGCAAAATGGAAAGAGTCAAAGGAGGAAAGCTACATTTGGAAACCCGGTCATTCAGAAAATATAATCTTTAACCAGATTAAGAAAAATGTTTTCACAACTGTGAGGTCAGTGCTCTTCACTTTATATATAAATTGGACAGTTGGGGTTCACTCTTGAAATTCTTGATTGAAAGCTCTTGGGATTATCATGTACAAGCATACCTCATTTTATTGCACTTTGCTTTATTGTACTTCACAGTGTTGTTTTTTTTAACAAACTGAAGGCAAGATCCTCCACCAGCAAAAATTACAACTCACTTTTCATTATAATACTTGCTTTCTTACAGTAGTGTGGAACAGAACCCACTAAATATGAGGTATGCCTATACTTGGATTGCTCCTAGGCCAGTCTAACTATTAACTTCCAGGGCATCTGAGCAAGTGTTCTTAAAGGATTCCCTGCCTAGACTGATTTTCTTTGTGGGCTGGGGGAGACAGGACAGGATATTTTTTTTATGTAGGGCTGTCAATAAGCAGTTCCCATCCTTTGGCCTTTAAGGACAACTTTTAAATGCTAATAATTGCATTTTGCAATTCGGTAACTCTGAGAACAGTTATTTAATCTAGTTACCTGAATGGTAAACCAGATAAGGTAAAAGTGAGTGCCAGATGAGATTGAGCATACACATTCTAGTCCCTAGAAAATATCAGAGGGAGAAATTTAACAAAAGTTTAGCTTTTTAGATCTTAAAGAGATTTGAGCCATCTAACTGAAGCAGTTAAATGGCCTGCCCTCGGTGATAGGCTACACTGTGGCAGAAACGGCATTATTACAGGATACCACAAATTTTGCCCAGCACCAAGTGATTTTTAAAAAAATACCTTTTTTAGTCTGGGGAAACTTTAGCTTGGAATGTTTTTAGGAAGGTGCCAACTTCAATTACAGGAAACATTAAGCAGACCTGAGATTAAAAGTACTGTAAGAATTACACAGTTTGGCATAAGATACTCTGGGGCTGGAGATAGTAATGTAAGTAAAAGGGAGGCAAAACCAGTCACATAATGTCAGTACAATGTCAGAAAAATAGTAGGGTATAAAAAAAGCAGCCAGGTAAATTTTACCTGCACCTGGAAAACAATTTGTCCTTTTATATTACACAAGACAAAATATCCAGGAAACTGCCTCACATATTGTGTAAGAAAAATCAATTTTAAGACTACACTGCTATGCGGTATAAACGAGTTAACATCCTATCACAACTTAAGACACAAAAGCTACTTAACTCGAATTTTGCAGTTAATGTTTTACCCTTCACATTTAACCTTGGCTACTCCGGCTTTTATTTTCAAAAACTCGTCCATCTCAAGCAAGACATCTGACAGGCCAAAGCCAGTCCCCAGTGCAAACAGGTGGTCTGTACTGAGGGCCACATCTTCTTGGCCACGTGACCCTTTTCCTCCGCATCTCGTTTCGGAAACATTATTTCCGGGGCCACGGATGGCTATACACACGCCTGAAGGAGCCCCTCCAGAAATGTTGAAAATATTCTGCCACATTAGGCTCCCAAAGAGATGGTGGCAGAGAGCAAAGGAGAGGAAACTCGAGCCTGGAAAAGCGACCAGTCAGAAAGGCACTGGCTTTGTTCAACCCTCGACTCCTAAATGTCACCCAGTGGAGATGTTCGTGTGGCATCACCCACGAAGGGCTGGGAGGGCGGCCAGGTGCTGCCGCCCGGGACCGGGGCGCGGAGCATGCGGCGTGGGCCAGGCAAGCACCGCTTCAGGGAGGGCGGTGGACCAGACCTGCGCCTCCACGGCTCCAACCAGCCGGGGGCGGGGAAGGGAAGTAAGGGCCCAGCGGAGTGGCACGGGCGGGGAAGGCTCGGGCGCGGCCGGGCCTAATCACATGGCGCAGACAGCGCAGGCCGCCCGGCATCTCTTTCTTTCTCTTTCTCGAGCCTCCGCTCCCATCCCGCCCCACCACAGGCCCCTCCCGGGCCCTGTGCCCAAGCGGAGCGAGGCCTCCTCCGCCTCGCGGAGACACTCACTTTTCGCCCGAGGCCACAAGCTCCTTGCCCTCGCTGTTGCCGAGCGCGTCCGCCTCCCCGGGGCCGTCCTTGGGGCCGGGCGCCGGCGGGGCCGCAGGAGGCGACGCCCCGGGCTGCGGCTGCGGCGGCTGCTGCTGCTGCTGCTGCTGCGTGCCCCCCTTGCCCAGCTCCTGCAGAATCTCTGAGGGGGAACTGGACAGGCCCCGGGCCAGGGGCCCAGCCGGCCGCCCGCCCCCGCCCCACCACGGGTAGATCCGCGCTGCGGCCGCCGGCCCAGCGGCCTCCAGGCCCCCGCCCCGGGCGCGCCTGCACAGGGTGGCGAGGGGCTGCACCCGCTTCAGAGCCGCGCTGGCGGAGGCGGGCGGCCGCAGGAGCAGGTCCCGCAGCGTCGCTGAGCCTCGAAGCCGCATCATGCCGCCCAGTCAGTCAGTGTGGGATCCACCGGAGAGGATGCTCGGGGCGCGGGCGGCAGCTCTTGGAGGATGCGTTCTCCCGCGGGACCGCGAGAAGGCAAGTGAGGACAGGGCCAGCGACGTGAGTGTGGGTGTGGTTCCGGTTCCCACAGCCGCTGCCGCTGCTCGGAAAGCTGCCGGTGGCCACTTCTTCTCTCTCCGCCGAGCGCTCCGCACTGAGGGTGAAGCGTAAGGGAAGGCTGGAGACATTCCGCGCTCGCCCTTCTGAGGGCGGGAGGACGCCGGCGGTCTGCCCACTTAGCCAACTTTGATTGGCTCAAATTCTCGACCTCTCTTCTGATTGGTGACTGGAGCAGTCAAATGTGTCTCCGCCTGTGGGGCTCGAAGAGTCGGGCGCGGGGGGTTGGGGGTGGGGAGAGGAGTCAAACTGACGTGTGAGGCTCCACAGGCCGGGCTCCAGAGCAGTCCCTTTCCTCTCTTTGCCACCCTGAGGGTACACTATTTGGGAACTAGGGGCTCAGGAGTCTCCCGTTTACGAAGCGGGTGGATTCTGGGACTCAAAACTGCAGGGGAGACTGATGGGCAAGAGCCTCTGCAGCTGAGGGGCCGGCGGTCAGTGGGGCTGGCCGGAGCTCGGCTGGTCCAAACGTGCAGCTGGCCCCCCACTATCGGGTAAGGGCGTGTGACGACGCCTGTGAGGGCCGCGGTCCCACGAAGGTAGCCGAGCCTCGTCTCTCTCCCAACTGTTACATTTACTTGAAACTTTCCATGGTTGGCGAGTACCCAGATGTGAAGTGTTTTGGAAAAAATGAGCAAAATCCTTTCAGCTATGCGACTTAGTCATTTGGAAGGTTGGAGTTCTGAGGAGGGCGAAGAGGGGAAATTCGAGAATATCACTGCTTTCCTTTAAAAAGAATTTTTTTTAATGTACACCAGTACCTCAAAAATGATTCCCTCAACACTAATTTGCTTGAAAGCAAAATGTAAATATTTTTCTATTTTAAAAGCTGCTTCATCATTTTAAAATAGAAGCGCCTGAATACTGGTTCTCTAAATCATTTCAGCCTAATACCACTTTATCCATTTATCCTTTGGACCTGTAAAAACGAGCAAGGATCTGATAAACTTTGAGTTTTTCCCTGAGCCTACATATACACTCCATTCCACGACAAAAATGTTTTTAGATGATTTCCTGAAATCATCTAAAGTAGGTTTAAATGCAAAGATCCACGTTAATAGAATGAGTTTTGTGAAATGGAAAGGGTGTGTGTCAGGCGCATTGTTAACTAATCACCGGATTTAATAACCTAATGAATCTTAAAATATTGCACTAATTTAATAATTAGGAAATCTGGCTTGTACCTACAGGTTATGTGACCTTTGGCATGTCACAGTTTTGCCATGATTAAGTTTATTCTATCTGCTCTTGAACTGGAAGAACATGGAAAAGGCTATTGTGTAAAGCACTGAGTCACATTTAAAAAAAAATAAGACAGTTGCAAATTATTTAGAGGGCTTTTATTACTACTTAATGTTACTATCACTAAAATTTGATGAGTCAAAGTAATAATATATTTGGGAAAAGAAACATCAGGTTTCTGAGGAAAGGTAACAAATACTACCGCTGCCTAAATTTTCCAGTCTGATTTATCAATGACATAAACCTGAATATTTTCCCAGGTCTTATGTATAACTAGTTATCAATTTTGACTGCCTCCTTTTTTTCAACCACATCAAAGCTATTGACAGATCTAGTTATTATTTTCCTCCTGGTTTTTTTTCTTAGTTTCTGTAATTTTTCTATGAAAATTCTTCCCAATGGTTACAGGTTTAACTACTTTATAGTATACTTAACAAATATAAAAGGCAAACCTTAAACAAAATCTATCCCTATAAAAACATTTTATACACATACAGTAGTCCACCAAAATATCTACAAATAGAAAATGGCTCTCCAGGTTAACATGTGACTGGATTGTCAGAGCTACTCTTAGACTTCCTCTTTGTTACTAGGTAAATGCAGCTATTTTACAATGGGTTCTATACCCTCATAGTCATTGAGAAGGAAATGAGCCATCCAAAAGAAAAATTGGAATGTATGCACTTTGTTTCTATTCTACTTAGAAGCTTAGTTATTGAGCTTCTATGTTCTTTTGAAGATTAGAAAAGGCTGTTTCAAGATTATAATGTAACCTATATATAAATTCTAGATCTTGCCCTTCACAAAAACTAAACGGTTCTAAATAGAAAATAATAATTCTTTAACAGCTTAAAAGGATTGCATACGTTTTTGTTTGTTTGTTTAGATTTTTCTATTTAGAGAATAGAATAAGGTCTAGGAAACCTCTAAGCAAGCTTCTGCTACTACTTCCCCTTCTTCTGCTCATTTCCTGCTTCAACTGGCCAACTTCCTAGCCTCACTGATAAACCTTGTTAAACATGACTTATTTTTCAAAAGCTGAATTTAGATCTGTATTAAAATAAGTATTATAAATCCCTCATCTGTAAAATGGGGATAATATTGGTATCTTATCTCATAGGGTTGTTGTGAGGATTAAATGAGTCAATACATTGTTCTAAAGCACAGAACAATGGCCGTAGCACTCTGTAAAGTGTTAGCTATAATAGTTGTCATGCCTATTATTGAAAAACTACTGGGAATTGTTTTAAACCATCTAATCATAAAATATCATTTAGGAAGAAAGTAGGTCCCTAAAATGAGTTCATTTGCTTACTTCATTTTTAGAAAACAAACCAAGAATTTCCAAAGCATTTTGAAATAGAGGCTGCTGCGAAAACAGATTAAGCAAAGCTAGGATCAGTGTCCAAGATACCAGCTATTTACAAATAACTTTTTAAAAAGTACTAAACAAAGAATTACTAGAGAAAACAAACAAAACTGGCCTAGATGTACATGTAATATACAATTAAATCTAAAAATCTATCATTTGCTACCTATGTACATTAAATTAAAATTCTGTCCCTTGTAACATCACACAAAAATGGTGAGAGAGATTTTTCATCACATTTGAAGAAACTATTTGAATGGTCTTGTTTAAAATTCTAACTATATGAAATTCTTTTTGAGGGTTTCCTGATAGCTGGAATGGGTGGTAATCAGTTATTTTTCCTTCATTCAGAGTGATATGGTAAAGATTTCAATTAGCTCAGTTTATAAGTTAATGTTGTTTATACTTAGACCATAATTATATGCATAGAGCCTCCAGATACGTATTAATTATTCAAAGTTACTTTAATTCTTATGTTTTTGGAAATTCATAGAAAATATCAAATTGAACTAAACCCCAGCCCAGAGATAAGAAGTTCTTACTTGTATATTAGTAAAACCTAAAACAAATTGATTTTATAAATAGTCCAAAAGTCAGTCAAAAGGATACTTGTTTGAGAGAATGAAAACAACCTCTGTGGTAGATTGCATTACTGTTCCCAAATATCTTTTTCCCTCCCTTTGGGAAGACTTTACCTCCCCATGTTGAATGGCAGGCTTGGCCTTATGCTTTGATTTGTTCAATTAAATGTGAAAGAAAGGGATGTATAGCACTGCTGAGTAGAAGCTTTACGAGTAATTGCTTGGTTCTGTCATCTCTCTTTTCCTTTTGTGACAAGAACAGCATGTTCCAATGAGGGGATGCTTCTTCACCTGGGTCCCAGAACTATTAAACAAGGCTGAGGGTGACTGTGACTGACTACAAAAAGAGAAATAAACCTTACTGTAAGTAATCTCACTTGGCGGTTATTACCATAGAAGGGCTTAAGTTAACCTATATATCATCCAACTTGAATGAAGAAGACTTGGCAGCCATGAGACTAATATGGATTACAAAGAGTATTTGAGAACTCTAAAAGATAGGCAGTCGGTGGACCTCCAGAGCAGTTGAAACAATACCACTGAGAGGACAGTCACAATAGGCATATTCAGAATAGGCATTCTATTTTAGGGGCAATTAAAACCAAAGTTCAGATAGATGTTTGATTTGTATTTCAATATGCCCTATGTAGTTGAGCACTTTAATTGGGGGAAATTAGCAGTGGTTTGAAGTATGAGCTCCATATCAATTATGCTATGTTGGTTTAACATCTGAAATTTGTCACATTTAAACCCTGAAAAAGAAAAATGAGCCTGGACTTTGCCTATTTATGTTCATCCACTGGTAAGATCATAATGCCAATTCAGAAACCAATTACTAAACTCCGTTGAAATCATGATTTATAGAGCAAAATCTAATTCAGACATTTTGAAAAAAGCATGAGTCCATAGTAATAGTATTTGGATGTTCCAGGGTAAAAAAGAATCAATATTCATCCTCTGTATAGCATGAGTTCCTTCAAACTATACATTTACTTTTCAAGCATCTGACATTTACAGTTAACATGTGATTCTCTCTGTCCATTGATAAGTCACAATATACAGTTCTACAAAAGAAATGTTGATTTGTGATAGAGCTGCTTCTCACAGTGACAACGCCACATGATGTATTCTAAGGCAGAGATTTATTCATATGCACCCCAGACAGTAAAACGAACTGTGATGTATAAAATATCTCTGTAGAAACAGCCTAAATGGCTATCAGTAGGAGAATTGATTAAAATACTATATTTTCATATAATGGGGTAACATACATTATTTAAATTCAGTGACCCCAGTGTCATGTATTAAAGTGGATGTCTCAAAAACAGTGTTGAAAAAAAGACAAATTACAGAAGGATATGTATATTATGATACAGTGATTATAACATTGTAAGACATAAAAACTATATATTATTTATAGATTTATACATATGTGGTTTAAAAGTTTCAAATGTGCATAGGTGTGATAAACATCAAATCCAATGTAGTGGTTATCTGGATTGAAGAGATGTACACAGAGAGCTTCAACTGTATCTGTAATGATTGATTTAAAAAAAAATTTTTTTAATCTGAAGGAAATGTGGCACGTGGGTAGTTGAAAACAGATGTTGGTTATATTCGTTCTTTTTCTCTGTGTTTGAAATATTTCATAATTAAAGAAAAGAAGCTTTATCATAATGTTGAAAGCCATTACTTTTCTCTAACAATTATAAGTGTAGAAAATAATACAAATCCAATATTCAATTTTTAATGGTTCCTTTTAAACTTTAATTTTGCCTAACCAATGCTGGATGATATAACTAATAAGCAATATAGCTTTCCCTGTGAATATATTTCAAGAGTGTAACCAACAGAGAATATCCTTGAACTAAAGGGTTTACAAAAGGTAA